GTTCGGCCTGTTCTCACCCGCGTGTTTGCACAAGCCTCGTCCTGGCCTCGTGTGCTAGGGCCTGCTTCTCGACCCAGCCCAGGCAGCATAGCTCAGGATACCAGCTTTACGCACCGGCGATTCTAGCATTTGCATCCCAGGAAAATTATGAATTCCTAAAAGCCGTGACAGCATAAGACGATTTCCAGATTAGAAAAGGAGATTTTTGATTTGCTGTGACTTAAATAAAAGCTATGCTACATTGTCAGTTTTCTTATTAATGTGATTTCAGAGGGCTGGAACACCTGCCCTACAGAGACAGGCTGCGAACTGGGGCTGTTGAGCGTGGAGAAGAGAAGTCTGTGGGGAGACCTTACTGCGGCCTTTCAGTACTTACAGGGACCCTGTAAGAAAGATGGGCGCGTTCTTTTTAGCAGGGCCTGTTGTGACAGGACAAGGGACAGTGGTTTTAAACTAAAAGAGGGTAGGTTTATACAGGGTATAAGGAAGACATTTGTTACAGTGAGGGTAGTGAGACACTGGCACACGTTTCCCAGCGAGGTGGTGGAGGCCCCATCACTGGAGACATTCACGGTCAGGTTTGATGGAGCTCTGAGCAACCTGGTCTAGTTAAAGATGTCCCTGCTCACTGCAGGGGGGTTGGACTAAGGTCCCTTCCAACCCAACACATTCTATGACTTTTCAGTCTCCATTTAATATCACCCTTCTCTCCCTTTCATATATAAAAGGCAATAACCTAAATCCACCAGAATTCTTGTTTTACAACTCTCTGTATTTGAGGCCCTACAACCAACCACCTGTATTCAGCGATTATTTATTTGTCTGGTTTTCCTTTACTGAAAAATGGAAGGTTTTGGAGGTCTTGCTTAGAAATTTTAAGACCCTAATAATTACAGTTACTTAGCTGATAAACTGATTGTAAATGGGATTTTAACTGATCGTTGATGTGTAAGCCTGTTGCTATAATATACGTAGAGGTACGCTATTTAAATGTGCGGTTTAGAAGTTCTTGCGCTTACCTTGAGTATTTTAATCCCACTATTCAAAGTTGTCTGGATTGATCTGTCAGTCTCTTACGCAAGCAAGACGATGAAAAGTGTAAATTGTGAGGTATTGAAGCAGAATGTATAGTTTGAATGACACAATCCTGTACAAGCGCTAAGTGTATTTTTGATAGCGAGGGTTTATGGATTAGTTGAGTCCAACTTTTTCATGGTAGCTTTTGATAAGGTACATTTCTTTTGATCAACAGAAACCTCTTAGCACCATTTTCAGCTTCTTTGGCTGGAAAGACAAATCAAACATGAAGGGATTCTGCAATAAGAATAAGTATCTGTCTGGATCCACGAAGAAAAGTAAAACTTACGTTTAACGGTAGTACTCCTTTAAATTATAGCTGAGAAGATCACCAGGGCAAGTGTGTTTTCCAGGAGGTAAAAGTGAAGCAACTGATAAAGATGAAATAGATACTGCCCTTCGAGAAGCTAAAGAAGAAGTGGGACTCCAGCCAGAGAAGGTGGAAGTCATCTGTAGGCTTGTGCCTGGAATTGATAAAGTAAGCAATAAACTAACTTAGCATATCATTAGAAAATAATCTTAGGTTATTTTCTCTTATAAGGTTGATAATGACCTTTTCAAACCTGTAAAAATAAGTAACCACAGCTTCTTAAAGCACACAGCCGGTGTTGCCAGCAGAGCAAAGGGAAGAGATTCTTGCTCTGTATTTGGTATGTGTGAGACCACACTTGGTGGGCTGTGTCTCGTTACGGACACACTGGAATACCACAAAGACAGTGGTAAACTGTAGGGAGTTAGTATACATGTTTTCTATTGTAGTGTATATGTTTTGGATATATACATAGTTTTATAGAGTATATGCTTTATAGCTAAATGTAGTTTTATGATATTTGAATCCATGGAAAAATACTTCTACGTCCTAGGAAAATTCCTATATCCTAGGAAATTAGATACAGAGATATGATAAAGCACAGGTGATTTGGAAAATTTGAATTAAAATCAGAACTCGCTGAAATAAATAAGGCATGAGAGAGCAAGCATTTTTTTTTCATTTCTTTATCAGATTGACAATCATTTTCGAGTGCTATATGATTATACGGGATGAACAGAATATTAGTAAAATGCTTAACAAATACAAAAAGAAAATTTAAAATTTATTAAAATATCTTTAAAATCAAATATAAATATCTTGCCATTAGAGGGACTAAACTGCATTAGACTTGAGAATATTTCATAGGTTTCTTGTACTCACTTTGTAACATCTGACATATTTTTAAAATAAAAATCATTCTTTCACTTGGTACAAGCTTAGTGTCTGGCTTCTCTTGGTTTGTTTTTGTTTTCCTTTTAGATGAATCACTTGGTAACACCGGTTGTAGCATTTATAGAGGATACATTCCAGGCTACTCCCAATCCAGAAGAAGTGAGCGATGTTTTTGTGGTGCCATTGGAATACTTTGTCAAGCCCGTAAATTACAAGACCTTGCCTTATGAAACCTCCTCTGGTTACTTAGGTTGGGTACACTGCTTCACATATGATGACCATGAACATAAAATGTCATACAGGATATGGGGACTTACTGCACACTTTGCTGTGTTTCTTGCTCTTGTAATTTTTAGGAAGAGACCTACCTTTGAAGTTAATTATGATCTTGACAACTTAATTTCATCCTCTGAGAATAACTTCATGAATTTATATTCATCCTTACATGAAAGGAAGAAAAGTAATCTATGACAGACTGGGTTGGCAGTTAGTTTATAGTGAAGGAGGAAAAAGAGGTTTGTTTTTTCCCTTTGTACTTATTATTTGATTGAATTTCACACTTGAATTGCTTCTGAATTGGGAACTTAGTAAATTTATTTTTAAATTATATTTTTATGGTGATAAGCCCTAACTAGATTCATACAATTTGCAATCTATTTTAAAGTTGCCAAAAGCACATTATATTTTTGATGAACTTAATATTCAGTTTTGGAAGATCTGTTCCAGTGTCTGGCTGTTTTGTGTGATCTGAGACACTTTCTGTAGTTTGCCTTCTGTATAATGAGATAACACTATTTTATCTAATTTTTATCTCTTTGAATTGGAATATGAAAACTTTTGGTGGTCAGTCTCTTACAGTGTGGCCTACTGCGTATGGACAACCATGGTACAGTTTTGTGTGATACCTTACGAAATGCACAATAAAAATAAGGTGGAAAGTGCTTTCATGGTTTTGCTTTGGTTGGGCTTGTGGAGGGAAGAGGGAGGTTTAATGGGTTTTATTAGCTCAAATTAACATTTTTCACAAATTCTGTAGGCTACGGAAAACTTAATATACAGGCAACAATAGTGAACTTGCTCCTCTGCATGTTAGCATCGCTCTGCTCCTAGAGGGAGTCACCTCAAGGAAAGAAAAGTGGAGTCGAGTATTCCTGAGGGCTAAACTGCTTAGCTATAGTTGAACATTCACCAGTCACCCTGGCTGTGTCACAAACATGGTGTTTTTTGTGCTGCGAGTCCTTGTTTCCCTCATCGCTGGTGATCCACTGTTCATAGTGGTTGTGGTCTTACTGCCACTGGGTAATTTTTTAAAAGCACAATCAACTTAGTCAGGATTTGAGATGTGGTTTGCAAGGAAACAAGTTGCTAGTCCTTTAACTCAGAGAAGATCAGCTGTTTCAAGTGTGAGTTGAAAGCATTCAGTGTCTCTCAGAAATAGGTGCCCTAGTGCTAGTCTTCAGTAAGATGAAGAAAAACAATCGATTGTTCTGGATGTTGGCACTTCGCACCCCCCAGCCCCGTATTCACTAATGGATGCGAGCGTGACAAAGTTGCTGGCACTTCCTGTGAACTGTGCTCTAACTGAGCAGAAGTCGGATTTTTACATGAAGCAGCTTTCATAGCATGCTTGAAGGTGGCTGTGACTAGCAAAATGCATCCTTTTTACAAATCAGTGGTTCCTAAGTACAGCTTGAGTAGCTAATTATGATTTTTCTAGGAAACCCAGCTCATCTTTTTTTTTTTTTTTAGCTTCTCATAATTGCATCCATAACATTCTTTGGTTGCTGTGTAAGGACGGTAGCATTTAGGCACTGAAGCACTAGCGCGTGGTTGGTTAGTAACTGCAGCGTGACCTCTCACTGGAGAAAGATGCTAGAGGTGCACTCTGCTGACAGAAGTGTACTGAAACAAATCAAGGCCGAAATGAATGCAAATCTTTCTGCAAGGACTGTTTTCCTTTGTCTCCTCTCCCTGCTACAACTGTGCAATACTTATTGTTGTCTCGTCACAGAAGTAATTCTTCTACTACAGTATTCTGCCTGAAACATTCTTTACACTGTGGCGTTAAAAGTAGTACAGGATTGGCCATCAGAACACTGGGTTGGAGAAGGCCTCAAGAATTAGCCTCATCTCTGGCTACCTAAAGATGGGAATTGGATACATGATATTCTAATAAATCCATAATTTTTTTTAAGTTTCCCTGGTCAATCCATTGTAGTTCTTTAGCCATCCTTTACAAAATTTTTAATGGTAGCAAGGAACACTTCTGCTGTACATAGCCAAATGGTGAATAGCTCATTTCCTTAGTTCCTTTCTGCACACCAGAAAACTACATCATTGTGGCTTCCTAAGGCATCTTTAGCCTTAATCAGATTCCCTCAGGTTTTTTTCGTCAGTCACATTTTCTATACAGTTCTTGTAGTTGCCTTCCAGAATCTTCAGTGAACGTTTCTCCCCCATTTCACCCTTCTATCAAATACGTGATAGTCAAACCTGGTCATAGTATTCTAGTGAGCCATTTATTTGGGGTGGATAAGACAGGATTACTTCATAGCTCGTTTTTATATGTCCCGCTGCGATTGCTGTTTGTGAAGCAGCATGGTAATACTGACTCTTCTTCCACTTCTTCCACGCAAGTTGCCTTATCCTTTTCTGAAAATGCTGCCAATTGTTCCTATTTCTATTTATTGCAGTCTGAATTTGAACAGTTGAATATTCCTGCCAAATGTAACACTTTGCATTTGTCCCTACTGAATTACCAAGCCTAGGGCGCACCCAGGAGGGTTGATAGCTCTTCCAGTGCACCAAGCCTGTCATCTGCCCCACAGAGGAGGCAAACACATTTGTCAAAAACAGCTCATTGAAAAAAGACCCTTGTGACACATGCCCTTGTTAATTAAAGTACTCATGTAAAGGTTATTTGTTCTGATGTCTTCCTAGGAACTGGAACAATTTGTATGAGTTCTCCAGCTCTTTCATAGGCTGCTGTTTGCCTTTTCTCAGCTTCTGTTAGGAAAGATGGTAAGTCCGCTAAGTTTCAAAGATAATTGCTAATAATGTTGAGATTGGTTCCTGAGAGGATGGCTGTCGCACTGGGACATTTCAAAAGATGAAGCCAGCTTGAACATTTTAGCATATCTAAATACTATCAAATCTTTCATATTCCAACAGTAGCTCTTTTGGTGCCTGTGTTAATTATACTTGATATCAGTTGACTTTTTAAGTTAAAAGAAAAAAAGACTTTTTTTGGCTAGGATGAAATCCTTGGAGAAGTTTTAGCCACATTTATGAAGAACAGCTTTATTTTCCATTATTAAACCCTTGTGAAGTTGTTAAAACATTTTAAAAGCTTAACTTTAAACTCTTCATCATATTATTCATATCCTCAGTGGTTTCTCTCAATGCTAATATATGCAGGAAAAGTAACTAATTAAAATAAGAACATTGTTAATTAAAATAGAGCAAAGCAATTAGACCTTTGATTAGTAAACAAAACAGGTACCAAGAGATATAATTACTAACTCACCACCCTGCTGTGTTCCCAGCAGACTTCTTTCTTCTTCATCTCTCAACCTGATCTGGCACAGAAGCTGTACAAATTAAAACCTTAGTTTGTTTCTATTTCTCTTCTTTTTATACATTATTGTGTGAAACTGTAAGGACAGCAACAACAGTTACAGCTGTTGCTTCTTTTAGCAAATGTAAATCTGGTTGATTTTTGAACTAAATCAACCATTTGAACTAATTGAAAAACAAAATTTGGAGGTCCAACCAAAAATCTTTGAGTGCTTTGCAGTAAAACCACTAGGGCTTCATGTTTCACGCTGTGCATCCCACCTAATTTTACTGACATTAGTTTTGAAATTTGGGACGTACTTTCACAACTCAGAAGACTCATTCTTGATTTAGATATCCATCTGGGATTTGACTGTCCAAAAAACTCCTTTGAGCACAAAAAGAATAGAAGGAAATTTAGGTTTTTATTACTAAAACTGCAGTTCCCCAAGTTCCACGTTTACTAATGGGAAATTGTTTCCTTGGGCAATCTTCGAATAAAATTATTTCACACTTCTTGAGGCAGAAACTAGAATGTGATTCCCTTCAACCTAGGCAGCCCCCCCCAACCAGTCCATGTCATGGTCATCATCTCTTTCAAGAGGTAAGGAGTGAAGAGTGCCTCAAGCAGAGCATCACGAAGTCTGGTGAGACAGGATCCTCCTGCCTCGGAAGTGGGAGAGAACTGAACGGGTATAATCTCCCTCCTGCTGGGTAAGGGCCCTGTGTGGTTAAATAGCGTATTAAAGGGAAGTTGTAGCTGCTCTGCGCCTCACGGGTCTAAAGGAGAGTGTGAGTGTGCCTTGTTTGTGGGAGATCAAAGGCGTGAAAAGTGGCTCCTCCAGGCAGATGACTCTTTCC